ATACTTATACTACAAGGAGAGTGTGGTGTTTTTCGCGTCGTGAGTCTTCAAACCGCGAGTCAGATACAGTGGAAGAGGAGCCACGGACGGGTCCATCGGAATTCGCTAGCTGAGGACTAGCAGCCCTTCTGTCTGGCTTTATACTTTATTGACATCTCTTGTGCCTATTATATAGGAACCAGCTTCAGCACCGCCTAATGGGATGGCTGCCCAGCGAGGCGGGCATTAACTGGTGTTTATGCCTACTTTGTACTCGACGTAATCTGCCCACTTGATCGATGACTGTTTATTGGACCGATCTGTTGGGTTACCTTCGAAGGCGCTTATTCTTGTCAAGTTACCATTTGGTAGTATGTCATATGAAATCAACCTCTCGTTAGTACGAAACCTTTAATATGAGAGAAACCGTTCGCAGTCTTTCGAGTGCTCAGATTCTGGTGTTCTGAGACGTCGGGTGATGTTAACGCAAATCATTTGCTGGCGAGAACAGATGGTGATTACGCGAAGCCGGCCCTAAGCACCAACCACGACAACAACCGAAACACGATTAAGCAGACTAGTTACGAATATTCAGAGCGAGCATGCTTAGTTGACGTTTGCAATTCTTGCCATTTAGAGTTTCCACTCTGCTGAGTTTCCCCTTTACCTACCAATAGATCGTGTCAATTGTTGCTTCCTATTTATGCAAATTTTCTGGGTATTTATCTCCGGAAATTCTTGCAGGCGTACAAATTGTCAGAATCATGTTAAAAAATTATGATTAGCACGATCTTTACACGTATCTCTTCGTGGGCATTTGTACCTTCCTCACATACCAGGTTTTTATATGACAAAAAACAATTATAAAACGCCGATCTTGTGATTGACCAGGGCGTCTCATACCCACGCAGTCACGTTTCTCATAGAAAGTGTCGTCAAAGACTGCTTCTCGTCTACATTTCCCTGACCCGTCGAGTCTGACTAACGTGCAATCTGCGTCTTACTAACCTATTAGGCTAAACTCTGTTTTCCTATATCGTTTGATACCCGATAGGGCTCAACATATCCAGTGATTAGAAGGGGCTCTTTTTAATACTGACCATCGAGAAGGAAACTTAGAACCATTAGACTGACCTGTAGGCCCTCCTCATGAATTTTGCAGGAAATTTCCATTCTTACGATCGATGAGCACACATCGGTACGTTAGGAGTTCCTGATGCGAATTCGGGGGTCACTGAAATTTGTTTCTGTCCAGTTAATTCAGGACTTGTTTTGTTTACGAGGAACTTGCCATATCTAGCGAGCCCTGCTCCGGCGAATCGATTGAAATTATACCCTAGAACGTAAGGAGGGAGTTTAAGAGTTCGTAACCGTTTCCTCGCCCTTCCTTGCCATAGGCGTGTGCACCATGGCCTTCATGTATGTTATGAACGAACTCTTAAAGTCTTGCCCCGCCTGTGAGCTGTTTTGCCTTAAAGGCAGGTAGCCAAGATCTTCTGAATACTAGCTCATTTTACCTTGTTTGACTAATTCCTATGATTTCCGATCTGGGTTTTGCGCAGGAAGCATAATTGTAACGATCCGTATCGTCTCGTTCGACTTCGACTTTTAGATGGACTCACTTCACTAAGTTATGCTGTGATGGGTCCATAGGTAGAGACTTCACACTCAAAAATACGACGACCGAACAGAAGTAACTTATCGCTGGAAGTGTGGGAAGAGTTTGTTGTGACCGGTGCACACATCCGTAGTATAGGCTCGCCAGTGGTTAGAAGTAATGGTGCAAGCCGACTCTTACCGTATATATTCCCTAGGAAAGACCCGACAGTTCGACCGTCGTTTTCGACGATGTCTACCGTGTGCCCCACAGCTGCAGCAGCGGTGGGAGCAAGGACGGTGACTTACGCAGGGGTTTATAGTGCCAGTAGACTTGCGTAGCATCTACCTACACTCTCTCCTCCTCCCCCGCCTGGGCCCGGTGTCAAGACAGAGTCAAGAAGACCGGAGACGAGGGAGGCCGCGGGTGGATGGCTTGGACGGATCCTCACCTTGGCGTTCCACCAAACCCCTGGTCCACACAACAATAACCAGGATTTCAACCAACACAACAGAGATTTGGAGGCTGGCACGGCCGAAGCCGCACCTGGGCGTGCCGCCAACGCCTGGCTCGGATCCCACACTGTGGTGAGAGTGCCATAAAGGCCACATTAAAAAGGAGCCATTTGCAGCCTGACTCTCAGACCGCCTCCCGTTAAGGAGGAGGTCCAAGGTACCCCGTCAGTTGGCAACCTTCCAAGCCACGGCTTTTAGCGCACCGTGATAGCTTCAAGCGCGTCCGATTGTTTATAGTGAGGAGAAAGTGCGCTGAGTCGTCGACCTCACTCTCCCTTCCCACTCCCACACCCCAGCCGCTGTCCGAGCCGGTCAGCAGACTGGAGTGGGGAATGGGCGCGGTGGCTGTCATGGTCGACTGACCATGACTGCGCGCGCTACAGCACGACCTGGCCTCCCATACACACTCAAACACCAGGATTTCACACAACGGGGGTTGAACGGCGTGTCTCCCACTTGCGTGAGTGCCGTGGAAGGTGCTGTTGCAGTCCGTCCCCAGGCCACCAGTCCGCCACTACACACAACACACACACAACGTGACGAACTGCGTGAACCGAGAGCGGGCCTCAATCAGCAACCTTCCTATCCACGACGCTTGACGTGTCGGGATAGTCTCGGACACAAGTCACCCGTGCAGCCGAAGCCGCATGGGGACCGAGTCGAGATGCACACTTCCCACTTGCGTGGGAGGCGGCAGTTGAGTGCATGAGGTGTGTGAGGGTTGATGTCTGGTGGGGTGATGGTGTTAGGAGGTAGGGAGTGAGGGAATGTGTGGTGTGATCTGCGGTTGTCTACCGCAGGTCGTCGTGGATGCGCATGTGGCCGAATAGACCCATGCGATGCGTGAAGGTGCGAGGGCAGTGTGGGCAGTGGAGGCAAATGCGGTGGGTGTAGGTTGGTGCTCCAGGCACTGGTTCGCCGGTCTCTGTGCGATGGATTCGCAAGTGACCGACCAGGCCGATGCGTGAAGTGGAGGTGCGATCGCAGTGAGGGCAGATGTAGTCCTGGCCCTCACGTCTGATGATGGAGGTTGCAGGGGTTGTGCCTGTTGTTGTGTCAGGTTCGGCTGTGGTGAAGTCATGCGCTACAGACGCCGAAGCGGCCGTCGTTGTGGCAGTGAGGGAGGAAGGGGAGGAGTGAGGGGTGGTAAGGTCAGTGGCGTCGATGTCGGCTGGGGAGTGGTTGGTGGGTGCACAAGGTGGTGGATTGGGAGTGGGTCTCGGCGGGGTGGGTGTGTCAAGGCGGCGGTCAATTCCGCTCTCGTGGATGCGCATGTGACCGAATAGACCCATGCGATGCGTGAATGTGCGAGGGCAGTGGAGGCGAGTGCGGTGGCTGTAGGTTGGTGCTCCAGGCACTGGTTCACCAGTCTCTGTGCGATGGATTCGCAAGTGACCGACCAGGCCGATGTGAGAGGGGAAGGTGCGGTCGCAGTGAGGGCAGGTGTAGTCCTGACCCTCATCACTGGAATCGGGAGAGGTGGGGGTGGTGTCGATTGTTGTGTCGGGGTTGGTGATGTGTGAGACGGCAGCCTGAACGGCCGCCGCTGGGGCAGTGGAGGAGGAGGAGGAGGAGGAGGATGGAAGTGGTGGTTCAGAAGAGTTATCAGTTAGTTGGTGGCAGAGAGGATGAGGAAGAGGCGGGCGGCGGGACGATGGCTGGAGCAGTTCGAGAGGCACAGTTGATTCGAAGATGTCCAACAAGTCCGATTCGTGCCCGGAATGTCCGTTGACATCGAGGACACGTAGGGGGAGGTTGTGCGGCGGCGTTGCGGACTGGGCGAAGTTGTGATTTGCGGGCTTCGCGTTTCACTTTGGCGGCGGCGATTCGGTTGGCTTCATAGATAGCAGCGCCCGTCTTTACTGTTCTCCTCCATGTCGGACGATCGCGGGCGAGATCTTCCCATTTGGTCGGGTTGATTTGCAGGCGCTTCAGGGAGGACTTCAGAGTATCCTTGTAACGGCGAATTTGGCCTCCTTGACGACGAGAACCCGTCGCGACGTCTCCGTAGAAGAGTCGTTTGGGTAGTCGCTCGTCGTCCATGCGCACCAGGTGGCCGCTCCAGCGCAGCTGCATTTGTTTCAGTATGGCGTAGAGGCTGGGGATTCCCGTTCGTATCAGTACTTCCGTGTCGGGGATTCGATCCTGCCAGTTCAGCCTCAGGATGCGACGGAGACAACTGAGGTGGAAGTGGTTCAGTCGGCGTGCCTGTATCGTGTACACCGTCCATGTCTCTGCTCCGTACAGTAACGTCGGCAGGATGACGGCCCTGTACATCTTCAGCTTTGTGCTCAGTTGGAGACCGTGGCGATTCCAGACTGTGCTTCGGAGGCGTCCGAAGGCTTGACTGGCTTTCGAGATCCTGTTGGCGACTTCGTCATCAATCTTGGTGTTGCGGGAGAGGGTACTGCCCAGATACGGGAAGTTCTACACCACTTGCAGTTGGGTCCCATTCACGTTGATGTGCGGCGCGTTGGGGGCTGTGGCTGAGTTGGGCGGCGGTTGGTGCATCACCACCGTCTTCTGCGTGTTAATGACCAGACCGAAGTTCTCGCAGGCGGCGGAGAATAGGTCCATGCTCCGTTGCATCTCCTCTTCCGAGGTGGTGTTCAGGGCGCAGTCATCGGCGAAGAGAAGCTCGTGAACATATGACTGAAGAGGGTAGGCGCCAGTACGCAGCCCTGCTTCACCCCATTGGTCACTGCGAATGCCTCTGAGACAGCTCCGTTGTCCGTGACTCGCACCATCATACCGTCGTGCAGCTGACGCACCATCTGAGTGAATCGCTCCGGACAGCCGAATTTCTGCATGATCTTCCACAGTCCTTCACGATTCACCGTGTCGAAGGCTTTCGTCAGGTCCACGAAGGTAGAGTACAGGTGGGTCCGCATCTCCTGACACTTCTCCTGAAGTTGGCGGACTGCGAAGATCATATCCGTGGTCCCACGATGACGACGGAAGCCGCATTGGCTTTCCGGCAGAAGGCCCTGTTCCAGATGGTTGTTGAGGCGGTTGAGCAGGATGCGAGCGAAGATCTTCCCGGCGATGTTCAGTAGGGAGATGCCGCGGTGGTTGTCGCAGACTTGGCGATTCCCTTTGCGCTTGTAGAGATGCACGATAGTTGCGTCCTTGAAATCTTGCGGGACTTCACCTTGACGCCACATCTCCTGGAAGAGCGCAGTCAGGTGATCCATCAGTAGGGGACCTCCGTGCTTGTAGACCTCAGCAGGGATTGCGTCCGATCCGGGTGCTTTCCCGCTGGAGAGTTGCTGCACGGCCCTGATGGTCTCCTGGAGAGATGGCGGGAGGTCGAGGTCCACGTTGGTCTCCACTTGCGGCAAGCGGGCGATGGCGGCGTCGGAGATGACGGAAGGGCGGTTGAGGACGCCCCGGAAGTGCTCGGCCCATCGCTGTAGGATTTGCGTCTTCTCAGTCAGGAGAGTGCTGCCGTCGGCGCTGAGGAGAGGAGCAGTGCCCTTCGTCGGCGGACCGTAGACAGCTTTGATCGCGGAGAAGAAGTTCTTCCATTCGTTGCGGTCCGCGTAGCCTTAGATCTCCTCAGCTTTGCGAGCAGTCCAGGCGTCCTGCATTTCGCGCAGTCGTTGCTGAAGCTGTCGGCGACTGCGGTAGAAGGCAGCTATGTTGTCCTCAGTGGGGTGATCTACGTAGGCTTTGTGTAGGCGGTTCTTCTCAGCAAGCAGATTTCTGATGGCGGCGTCGTTGTCGTCGAACCAGTCCTGGTGTTGGCGGGGAGCGCGACCGAGGACGGCGAGCGCCGTCGACTGGACCGTGTCTCGCAGTTGACACCAGCGGTTCTCCAGGGAGGCGTTCTCGGCATCGGGGGCGTCTGCTGCGGCAGCGATAGGAAGGTTGTCTAGCCGTTGAGCTAGCTCATTGCTGAAATGGAGACGGTGAGCAGGCAAAGACAACAAAGCAACATGTAGCTTACCTGGGGGTCGCTTACCTTGTGGTCTTCTGCGAGGCTGTAGGCGAATACGCATCTTCGAAATGACGAGGCGATGGTCGGTCCACCCGTCAGCACCCGAGATCGCCTTCGTCACCAGCACGTCCCGCTGATCTCGCCTCCGGACGAGAACATAGTCCAGCAGGTGCCACTGACGCGACCGAGGATGCTTCCAGGTGGCCTTCTCTCGCTCCGGCAGACAGAAGAACGTGTTCGTCAGGATGAGGCGGTGTTCTGCGCAGGTGCGGAGGAGCAGCAGGCCGTTGTCGTTGGAGCCGCGGAGACCGTGGGGACCCAGCACTCCTCTCCAGGCAGTATGGTCTGTGCCGACGCGGGCGTTGAAGTCACCAAGGACAATCAACTTGTCCGCCTTCGACACAGTCGCCAAGAGGGCGTGCAGGTCCTCGTAGAACTTGTCTCTTGCGGCGGCGTCGGGGCTGCTCATCGGCGGAGCGTAGGCGCTGATGATGGTGGCGAATTTGCCTCCCCAGAGAGGCAGGCGGAGGCTCATCAGGCGATCGTTGATTCCCTGCGGTAGACAGGGCAGTCGTCCCACCGTGTCGGTCCGGATGGCAAAGGCGACACCCGCGTCTCGTCGCTCTGTCCTGGGTCGACCACTCCAGAAGAAGGTGTAGCCGGCACCCACCTCCTCCAGTTGGCCTTGTTCGGAGAATCGGGTCTCGCTGAGTGCGGCGATGTCCACCTTGTAGCGCGCCAGTTCTCGTGCCACTAGCGCCGTCCTCCGTTCCGGTCGGTTGCTCCTCTGGTTGTCTAAAAGGGAAGGAACATTCCAGGCTGCCAGAGTGAGCGGGCTCACCCTGCCAGTCTGGCGACTGCGGCGGCGAAAAGTAGGAGTAGGAGAAGAAGAAGAAGAAGAATAGGCTGGAAGAGGAAGAGAGTGATTGTTGTTGTTGTTGTTTCGGTTTTGGCTGTTTCGACCGTGTGTTTTTTGTCTGCGGCCACGGCCAGCCTACAGACAGCGTGGTTCCCAGCGATCTTTAGGGCACCTTTTCTAGCCCCTCCCCCTCGCGGGGGCAGGCAATGCATCCCTGAACAGGGCTGCCCGGTTATTCCAGACGGCTGCCGGACTCCACTATGGACCACGACTTTTTGTTAGTGAGAGAACGACCCGAATTAGCCTGGGACCTTGGTGGTGAGGTGATGATGTGATGGAGTGAAGTAGGAGAGAGCATACACACTACCTAACGCTATGGGACTTAGAACTAGAGTGGACAAGCGGACACAGTCATCAGTCAGAGACAAAGTGAGGGCACCACACAAAGTCACGCACCGTAACACCTAGCTATTAGTAGAGAGTGGCATAGACTGACGGACAGACAATCGCAGCAGGCATCGAGGGTGTCGTTTAGCTGTTAACAGACAGACTAGCATATAGAGGGCAGGCAGCAAGCGCAGCGTACGACACGGAACTTCAACAGACAAAAGGAAGAAACAGAGCAAATGCACTTACCTGAGGGGGAACTTACCTGGTGGCCTCCTGCGATGGTCCAGGCAGAGCCTCGTTTCGACGATGTCGACGCGAAGATCCATCCGGCCAGCGCAGGCCACAGTACCGCGCGTGCAGGTGCACGCACGGATACCCTCACCTGGTTTAGCCCGCCGGTCGAGACGGTTGCCCGGGGTGTGGCCGCTGAGCAGAGCCCAGCTACGTGGAGCCACAGGTGAGAGTTAGGTGCCAGCAAATGGACGCTAGGCGTAGTCTCACCTGCAAGCAAGTGAGCGACCACTGCGACCATCACGTGGACCCACCGCTGACACCCCTACACCCCCTAGGAAAGACCCACTACTCGAAACAATCGCATGGTCCTCCTTTGATTAGTCGCTTTCGTCCTTGGGTTACCGTAACGACCTTTAGGAGGGCACTAGTGATCATCATCGTGGCTTTAAAGGCATTGGTTTAGGCCAAGTCCACCACATTGTTGTATTTTCTTAGACAATCTGCAACCAACGGGGGTTCCAAGGGTGTTCGTCTATCTTTCCATTAATAAAACTTAACTGAATAACAAATTATAGTTAGATCTAGAAGGCTTTTGATATACTAAGGTTAGGATAGACGTCCCGGAGGTCGGAGACTTAGATCTAATTCCTCGTTTGTGGTCCGGTCCATGCTTCTTCTCCGTCTCTTTTGACGCATATTAGGCTCTTTTAACTCAGCTTCTCTACCCTTTAAGGATTTGAGCCAGATAGAATGGGCCTGCAAGGAGTTGTATACAACATCCGACTCGGTCGTCCGCGCTCAAGCCGAAAAGACTTGTACCAGTTTGTGCGAAAGGCCAGATTGTGTAGCAACTTGTCAGGCGCTTCTTCAGCGTGCCAATGTATGTATTCTCCATTTCCCTAATTGCGATTTTTAGTCATGCTATTCCCAGTTTATAGCCGCCACAGCGCTCACCCGATTCATCTCAAATAAAGACGCTGTGCTCCATGTAAATACAAGACTGGAATTACGTGAGTTTTGACAAAAAGTCTTATTGCTAACATGGATTGTAGGAAATT